CATTCTCGGAGTTCTGACAAAACTGGATTATGATCATATTAGCCATGCATGGAAAACATAAACTTCTGTGCCAAAGTGTTCTGTCTGTCAATCAACACCAAGACATGTTTGGACACAATGATGGCTTGGAGCAGAGAAGACTTCATTTAAAAATTGCCAAAAATATTAATTGAAAATGTTTAAAAACAAGCTTTTTAAAATTTATTTACTTTCTCATTTAAGAAATTGAAAAGTATTCTATAGAGTACATGTCCCATAATTTCTTTATCCAGTCTACTGTTGATGGGCATTTGGGTTGGTTCCAGGTCTTAGCTATTGTGAATTGAGCTGCAATAAACATTAATGTGCAGACAGCTTGTTTGTTTGCCAATTTCATTTCCTTTGGGTAAATTCCAAGGAGTGGGATGGCTGGGTTGTATGGTAAGGTTATATTCAGGTTTCTGAGGAATCTCCAGACTGACTTCCATAGTGGCTTAACCAGTTTGCATTCCCACCAACAGTGGGTTAGTGTCTATAGAATACTATACAGCAATCAAAAACAACAAAACCCGGTCATTTGCAACAAGATGGAGGAATTTGGAAAACATCATGCTGAGTGAATTAAGCCAGTCCCAAAGGGACAAATATCATATGTTCTCCCTGATCGGCGACAACTAACTGAGCACCAAAGGGGAAACTAGTTGAAATGAAATGGACACTATGAGAAACAGTGACTTGATCAGCTCTTGTCCTGACGGTTGATGCACAATGTAATACTTTATCCATTTTAGTATTTTTTTGTTTTAGTATCATTGGTTGAACTCTGTAATTAACACACAATTATCCTTAGGTGTTTATATTTTAACTGAAAAGTGATCCCTGTTAGGAATTTGGAAAACATTATGCTGAGTGAAATAAGCCAATCCCAAAGGGAAAAATACCACTTGTTCTCCTTGATAGGTGACAACTAACTGAGCACCAAAAAGGAAACCTGTTAAAGTGAAATGAACACTATGAGAAACGGTGACTTGATCAGCCCTCACCCTGACTGTTGATGAGCAACTTGATATGTTATCCCTCTTAGTATTTTTTTTGTTTGTTCTACTTAATACTTTTGGTTGAATACTGTAATCAATACACAATTCTTCTTAAATGCTGAAACTTAACTGAAAAGTGATCACTGTTAAATATAAGAGTGGGAATAAGAGAGGGAAGAGATGTACAATTTGGGACATGCTCAAGCTGACTTACCTCAAACGGTAGAGTTAGAAACATACCAGGGGATTCCAATTCAATCCCATCAAGGTGGCATGTACCAATGCCATCTCACTAGTCCCAGTGATCAATTTCTGTTCACAATTGATCATAATGATAGGACTAAGAACCAAAGGGATCACATAAACAAGAATAGTGTCTGCAAATACTAGCTGATGGAATAAAAAAGGGAGAGAATGATCCAACATGGGAAGTGAGATACACAGCAGACCCATAGAATGGCAGATGTCCTAAATAGCACTCTGGCCTCAGAATCAGCCCTTAAGGCATGCAGATCCGGCTGAAAAGCCCATGAGAGTATTTCAGGCATGGAAAGCCAATACACTCTGGGAAAAAAAAAAAAAACCTAAATGAAAGACCTCCGCTAGTGAGATCCCAGTGGAAAGAATGGGTCATCAAAGAAGGAGGTACCTTTCTCTGAAGGGAGGAAAGAACTTCCACTTTGACCATGGCCTTGTCTAAAAATTATCAGAGTCAGTGAACTCAGGGGACTCCCATAGCCTTGGCATCTTATGACAAGAGCCTAGGTTGATTACTGATGCCATAAACAAGAGTGTCAATTTGTTAAGTCAACAACAGGAGTCACTGTGCACTTACTCCTCATGTAGGATCTTTGTCCTTAGTGTGCTGTACATTGAGATTTAATGCTATAACTAGTACTCAAACAGTATTTTTCACTTTATGTTTCTGTGTGGGAGCAAACTGTTGAAATCTTTACTAAATGTATGCTTAACTGATCTTCTGTATGTAAACAGAAATGAAAATGAATCTTGATATGAATGGAAGGGGAGAGGGAGTGGGAAAGGGGAGGGTTGCGGGTGGGAGGGACATTATCGGGGGGAAGCCATTGTAATCCATAAGCTGTACTTTGGAAATTTATATTCATTAAATAAAAGTTTAAAAAAAAAGAAATTGAAATGTAAAGCAGTTTTGGTCATGCAATGTTTAAGCAAATATCCTATTTCAAATCTACAGCTGTTAGAAATAGCTAGATTCCTGTTATGATCATCACCATCAAGGTTTTTGGTTTTATTTTTTAGAGAGAGAGTTGCTTTCCTAGAGCTTATAGGTCTCCAAGTCTCTTAAAGGAGTGAGGAACAGCTCTCCTCCCTTCAGACAAACCCTATACCTGTGCAACATAAGGTAGGAATAGAATAACCAAAGGAAGGGATTCATGTGACAGACTCATAATTTCCACTCTTGATGTTCACATCCTGCATTAAGATAATTCTCTCCAATGAAATTAGTTTCTCTATCCTCATGGCTTCAAAGGCCTTGTTAAATATGTCAGTCTTCCTGATAGAAGACTTATTAGATGGGATAGTTAAATTTTGTCTGTGGCACTTGGGGAACAGAGATGTAGGGCTCCTTCCATGTTTGCGTGATAGGAAACCTGACCTCAGACCCTTAGTGAATCTACAGAATCACCAAAGACTGGTTGAAAGTATTCCTGAGATAAGCAGAGCGAGATACACCAAGGAAGGGGCCACAGGCCCTGCTGAGATTCCCAGCAAGGCTAACCTAGCAAAGACGGGTGTCCCAGTGAAGCCTAAGGAAAGTCAGAAAGCCTAAAATGTGGAGATTTGGCATAGGAAGTGGAGAGCTACCTAAGTCTCCTCTTTTTGGCTTCTCACCCTGAGCTGGTATCTCCCCACATCCCTTATATTTCTCTACTTACAGAAATATCTCCACTCTAAGACCATGCAGTACCCCAAGCATGTCTTCATAATTTCTAAAAACACTATTTTGAAGGCATTACTTGAAGAGATTTTTTTAAAAGATTTATTTATTTATTTGAAAGGCAAACTTACAGATAGAGAAAGGCAGAAGTAGAGAGAGAGAGAGGTGTTCCATCTGCTGGTTCACTCCCCAACTGGGCACAATGGCTAGAGCTGTGCTGATCCGAAGCCAGGACCCAGGAGCTTGGGCCATCTTCCATTGCTTTCCCAGGCCATAGCAGAGAGCTGGATTGGAAGTGGAGCAGCCGGGTCTTGAACCAGTGCCCGTATGGGATGCTGGCACTACAGGTGGTGGCTTAATCCTCTATACCACAGCATTGGACCCTTGAAGAGATATTTTGACCTACAATTTTCTCTGGGACCAGCATTGTGGCTCAAGGGGTTAATCTTCCACCTGCAAGGTCAGCATCCATATTCCAGTCCCATCTCTCTGCTAATGCACCTGGGAAGGCAGCATAAGATGATCTAAGTATTTAGGGATCTGTGATCCACATTGGAAAACCAGAATAGAGTTCCTGGCTCCTGGCTTCACCTTAGCCCAGGCCTAGCTATTACAACCATTATGGGAGTGAATCAGTGTATGGAAGATTTATTCTCTTCTAAAAGTTAACTAAAGATAAGGCATGACAAGAACCATGACCAAAAAGTGTTCCACTTCTATGAAATTTGCACACAAATTTTTGAAACAATGAACATATGAATAAAATACAAAAAAAATTTCAGACAATGACATATGTGAAAGAGTTATCTGTAACCCCAGTTCTTTGCAGCTCAATTCACAATAGCCAAGATACAGAATCAACCCAGATGTCCAACAACTGATGACTAGATAAAGAAATTATGGTTTATATACAATATGGAGTACTACTCAGTGATAAAAAAAAATGAAATCTTGACTTTTGCAACAAAATGGATGCAACTGGAAACCATTATACTTGGTGAAGTAAGCCAGTCCCAAAAAGACAGCTACCATATGTTTTTCCTGATCTATAGTAACTAACATAGTACTTAAAATGTAATGTATTGGAATTAAATTGACATTTTGAGATTTGATGACTGTTTACAGCCCTGTCTCTACTGTTAAGGGACAGTGTTTTTTTTTTTTTTTCCTTCATACTACTTGTTGAACTATTTAGGGTAGCAGGGTTAATCTTAGGAATTTAAAGTAAACTGAAAATATATCATTGTAAAAGTTGAGAGTGGGAACAGGAGAGGGAAGAGGAAGAACAGTTGGAGCATGGGTGGGAAGGAGGGTATAGTATCACCATGTTCCTAAATCTGTATATATGAAATTCACAAAATTTGTATACCTTAACATTTTAAAAAAAAAGGAGAGAAATAAGGACATGTCTTAGTGGCTTCCTGGGTAGGGAGAAGAGTGGAAGAAAGGCTACACAATACTGGATGGTCTCCAGTGAAGACTCGCCACAGCGTTGCATTCATCTGGCACAGGCACATGGAAAAGCAGCAGCCTGGCTATGAGCTGAGGGGATGAACTACCAAAAACAGCTGCCACAAAACTCCGCAGCAAACATAGTTCTCTGTACTCAACAGAATCTGTTGGAACTAGTAACAAAGGTAACTAGGAACCCAATGCGTATAGCCCTGGCATCCTGGGTAAGATGGGAAGTCAGCTGTGTGGATAACTATGAATCCTAGAAAAATACAGTCATAAACATTAGACCTGTGTCTATACAGTATAATGCATGGTTAACTGTGAACTATTAGCTTAATCTAATGTATACTGATTCTCAATATATTCAGAATATACAGTTCTGGTGACAGGTATTGATTCTCAATATATCCCATAAAATATTTCACAGGCACACACACACACACACACACTCACACGAATGTCAAATAGTATCTTCCGTGGCATTTACCTGAGGACATAACATGTGTGCCAAGTTGTCAAAACCGATATATTTTAGATATTTGGCTAATTTTTGCCTGTGTGTATTCTGTAACAATTCTGAGTATTTCTTGTGCAGTATGTGAATCCTCTTATCATCTGAATTACCACATTTATATCTTTGGATTCTGCTTCTGTTGAAGTAAAACAATTGCATGACCTAAGTGAAGCAAGAGAGTGATAACAACCCACACTCTACCCCAGCGCTGACTTAATTTTAAGATTTTAAAGAAAGCATATTCACATGAACCACTCACAATAATCAAAGAACTCACAACTCCCAGTTCTGCATGACAATTAAAAGTGTGGGCTCTTAGATTCTAAAAGTGCTGCTAGACTTAGCAAGCGAAAAACAGGATGCCTGCTTTGACAAAAACTACAGGGCACATATTCACAAAATTCATCACATACCTGAAATGCAAACTTAACGCGCCTGTTTCTGACATAGAAACATGGCAAATTACTTCTCTCAGCCTTGTTTTCTTTCTCTGTATAAGGGAGATATTAACCACAGGGCTCACCTCACATGGTTATTATCAAGATTAAACAAAATAATCTACATAAAATGATACAATAATTTCCTAAGAACATGACCATTCTATACTCTTTTATTACTCTTCTAATAATTACTTTTCTGTGACCACAATTAAGAGATAAGTATTTTTTTATCTTATCTCCAATCAAAATTTCTCATTCTCTGGCCTTCAGCCACAACACTGTGGTTATATCCCAATTTATTACTTATTCAATTTGTGCATATAGATTGAAGTAGACTTTTCACTAAAAATATTACTGTGTCACTGACATTCAGGCACATAATTGGTTCTCCTAGGGCTTTACGTATTATATCAAGATAGGAAGCCTATCCCAAAGAATTGTGAGAATTTAACAATTTTATGTGTGTGTGTGTGTGTATGGTATTTGGCCAATGGCTGGCTATGAAGAACTGTCTGCTGCATTGACTTTTGAATTGACTCTTTCCACTAATGCCTTTCACACACAAACAACTGTGGATCCAACAAGAGGAAATCCTTCTAATTTTTAAGACTTCAAAAGAGTTCCATAATCACAGAAGAATCAATGCCAGCTCTTTTGCTGTCCTTATTAATCTCTGATTTCAAGAAACTTCTAGAATTGATGTCCTTATATACCTGGTTTTAGACAGCATTCTTTCCATAATTTGAAACAGGCATCCAATCCAACCATTTCTGCAATAAATTTTACAGATTTAACAGCACATATCTGGAGAAAATCTTCTAGTCTTTTGATTCCAGAGTGAAGATTCTCTTTAATTTCTTTTTCAATAGAGAGAGACAAATTATTCCATCTCTCTTCCTCCTTTTTCTCTAGTTTAGCTAGTTGTCTCTTTTGATTTTCTTCAATAAGTTTTTCTGCATTTTTCTTCTAAAAAATAGAAATAAAATTAAATAAACATAAAAGCAGTTGTTTCCAGATTAATACTTTTTATATTTGGAAGGAAATATTTAATATCTTGGACTATTAGTTTAGCATTCAGAGCACTTAAGGACATCAAATTGGACCTTTGGTGTTGCAAAGAATTAAATGTAAATATCTTTTTTTATACACAAAGATGGTAATTGGCTATTCCTTTTCTCTATCTTCTCAGCTGTTAACCCCTTAGTCCATTATACTGAAAGCCAGTGTTTAGGCAGTCCAGATCTGTGCTGAGTCTAAGAAACACCCAACAAAGGTCCAATGAGGATAAGTATCTTTTATATGACCAGACCAACTGGTAAAATTACAAAAACTCCCTGGAGTGTGACACATTGCACTGTATAGAAATCAAATACAACTCTTGTGCAGTGGTAGCCAAGAGAACAGGATATGATGAAAGCAGTTATGAATAGATAAAAAGCAGACCTAAAATTGCAATAGCTGGAATACTGCTTGCAATGGAAAATGCCACCATGACCATTCTCTGGCTAACTCTCTTGTCCAGTTCTCCAGGCTCATCTTTACTTAGCCCAGCCTTCCACCCCCAGCATGGAAATACAGGCCATCTAAGAATCTGAGCACTTAAACTGATCTTCTGTATATAAAGAGAATCGAAAATGAAAAAAAAAAATGTAATTGTGGAATGTATAAAAAAAAAAGAATCTGAGCACTAGCAAATGACACCAGCTCCTCAGGGGAGTGCACACCCTACGCAAGAGGAGAAAGTATGCTTGCAGAGTACCATCTACAGGATAACAGCCCAACGACTGCACTTCCTAAAGCACCAAAAATGAGCACTAAGAAAATGTGTTTAAGCAAATACAGAGGGGGCTTCAGAAATGCACCAAAATGTATATTATTTAAAAAAATGCTTGGATTTCAAAATTTTTGCACTGAAATAAAGTTATCTAATTTTATTGGAACATAAACTTTTCAATATCTATTAATTTAAACTTTATTTGAAAGGCAGAAAGACAGAAAGATGAAAAGAGATCTCCCATCTGCTGGTCCACTCCCCAAATGCCCACAATAGTCAGGGCTCGGCTGGGCTGGGCTGGGGTCTTCTATTTGAGTGGCATGGACCCCAGTGTTTGAGTCATCCTCTGCTGCTTCCCAGGGTGTGCGCTATCAGGAAGCTGGATGAGGAGCAGAGCAGCCAGAACTTGAACCAAGCACTCCAACACGGGATGCAGGCGTCCCAAGCAGCAACTTAAGTAGTGTGCCAAAGGCCCACTCTCCCACGAACTTTCTGAAGTTCCCTCATCATAGGTTTTAGCAGTCAATAAGCAAAATAATAATAACAATGGCAAATAGTAAAGGAGATAAAACAGAAAGTCACAGGGGAAGAAACACAAATAGACTAATACTCATATCACTGGTATTTGAATTTGCAATCAAAATCTCTTGTTGAGATGATGTTAAACAAAAAAGCAGGCACACTCACAGAATGCTACTGGGTATCTCTGTGGTTAAACAGAAAAGAGCACCAGGGTTATAACAGTAAAATAATGCACACGTATTAAAGATTAAAAAGGAAACATAGAAAAATAAACATGGAATATTATGCAAATATTAAAAGCGAAAGTTTATTTTTCACTCATTGCAATGAAAAGTTTTAGAAAGCACACTGTTTAATGGGAAAAAAGTATAAAGCCATATGTAAACTGTAAACTATGCATGTAGTAAGAGTGTATAGACTGGAAGTGTTTGGAAGGATGTTCACCAAAGTTAATAGGACCAGGTCTTTGAAGAAGGTAAAATGTTAGTTATTTTTCACACTTTAAGTACCTTTGTGAATAGCCTGAATTAGCTCTGTGTGTGTGTGTGTGTGTGCTCGATTTTTCTATTAAAGTTGCTTAAAATTTGGGAAATAACATACTATTTTGAATTTATTGTATATTTAATGATATAGAAAGAAGTCAGCTATACTATTAGTAGATGTGGAATACATATAGAAAAAACAACAGACAATACAGGACTGCACAGGTGTATGCCAAAATATTCACAGTTACTTGTGGGACATGAGAATGTGGAGTTTTCTTTTCTTTTCCTTACTTGTTTTTCTATATTCCAACAAAGAAATAACTAAACAAACCACGACATTGCCATATTATGGAGGAGTATCCATCCACAAAATTATGTTTCAAAAGATGTTTAATAACATTGGACAGAAGTGTGACTGTGAGGGAATTCACCAAAGCATTCCCAGTGCTCAATTCTATGATGGTCCCATTAGGATTTTGTTTTCTTTGTTACACCTCCCTTCATTTTCCCAGTGTTCTAAAAGGAGAATAAGGTCCTTTATCTGCTATAATTCATGGTTAGTACTTGGGAGTACTTTTTTAAACAAAATATTTTTTTCTCCAATAACATGAGATTACCAGTGTTGCCATGCTGAGTAAAGTTAACGCAGGTCTCACAGGGTGGGAGTAGAGCCTCAAGCCCCCACAGCAATGAGCTCCGCTAGCCCAAGAACGCACCTGATGTTGTCTTTTCTTCTGCCCGGAAGAATTTGCTGGAGATGGCAGCGAGCCCACTTTTGTAATCCTTACTGATCTGTTACTTCCTACCAAAGACCTTCCAAACACATGATAAAAATGATACAGTTTCTGTGTATCTCTTCTTTCTTTGGCATCTTTGGATTTAGCTGAGGGAAATAAAGTTATTAAAATATCATGACTCTACTGTTGATATATAAAAGCTGCACTCCTAGAGCATTCATGAGAAAGGCTTTGACAAATCCCCTGAGAAACTCATAATATTCTAATTAGAGGCTATTACTATTATAGAGATTGAGATGTGGAAATGTAAAGTAAAATTATTGAACCATATTTAAATATCATGAGATGATCCAAATTAACATCTGTTATTGGGGCTGGCATTGTGACTCAGAGTTAGTTAATCCATTGCTTGCAACACCAGCAATGGTGTTGTACTGGTACTGAGCACCAGTACAAGTCCTGGCAGTTCCACTTCTGATCCAGCTTCCTGCTAATACACCTGGGAAGGCAGCTGAAGACAGTCCAAGTACTTGGGCCCCTGCCACCCATGTGGGAGATCCTGGTGGAGTTGCAGGCTCCTGGCTTTGGCCTGCCCCAGCCCAGCCGTTGTGGCCATTCGCAGAAAAAACCAGCAGATGGAAGATCTCTCTCTCTCTCTCTCTCTCTCTCTCTCTCTCTCTCTCTCCCCCCTCTCTGTAACTCTGCTTTCAAATAAATAAAACACATCTTTTTAAAAATCACATCGGTTATTTACTTATTCATTTTATTACAACTACTAAGCATTATGGGTGCATCCCATAGAGTAAGTCGAGGGTGAGATATGACCTGCTCATCCTACAACACATCAAAGCCACAAAAGAAAACACCTGCTCTTGGACATGGTTGCTGTCTCTGGACACAGGATCAAAAACGAAGCACATGAGCACTGCATGAACTTGGAAACAGAGTTTCTAAAAACTATACCCAAATTTGGCCAGAAACATTTGGCTACAACCACTCAGCCAGATTCTTGTTCGAGGAGAGAATGGACTCTGGAAACAAGATGTCACCAGTTCCCAGACCACTCTAAGCCTGCGGCAGCGCTGAACTCAAAAGCCTTTATCGCTGGCAACACCCATGGCCTCAGGGTGAGTGTCAGCAACTCACCCATCCACACTTACTACATATACCACGTCCTGAAGAAAATTAGAGGCCTGACCAGGTGTTTTCACCAGCTTTTTATCATTAGAACAAAATACCTGAGAAAACTAACTTCAGGGGGCCTCTGCACCCACGTGGGAGCCCTGGAAGAAGCTCCTGGCTCCTGGCTTCGGATCGGTGCAGCTCCGGCCGTTGCAGCCAATTGGGGAGTGAACCAGCGAACCGAAGACCGATCTCTCTCTCTCTCTCTCTCTCTCTCTCTGCCTCTCCCCGCTCCAACTCTGCCTTTCAAATACATAAGTAAATCTTTAAAAAGAAAACTTAACTTCAGGAAGAAAAAAGGGTTACTCTGCATCACGCCCAGATTGGGCAGCCCCATGGTTCAGGCCGTGCTGAGGGTCCAGGCAGGGAATGGAGCTCAGGTGGAGGAGGGTTGCAGGGCAGCTGAGCCAGGAAGCTACAGAGCAACGGGGGTCCAACCGGGCTCCAGCAACCAACCCCGCTGAGAACCACCGTCGGAAGGCAGCCCCACGCCCTCAACATCATCACTGCATTAAGCGGGCACATCCGGTTCAAACCACAGCTCCACTCTCCCGCTAACTCCCCGACTGCTCTGAGGCCGTTCCTGGGACCGCTCTACGAGAACTGAACAGAAGATGCCAGAAGCCAGGAACGCAGTTCCAGCTGCTCAAGGCCCCAGCGGGCCACCCAGCCACGGAGCGCACGACGAAGGTGGAAGCAAAAATCCTTCCCCTTAAACATGTACCTGAGCGCCGGGCTCACCCGGGCAGACGTTTAAGCAGCCTCCCCTTGCTCTTCGGTTCTGGGAAAGACGAAACCCCTAGCGCCTCACCGACTTGTCTGACGTCACTGGGGCTCTCAGGCTGCTTCGGTCACCAGCCCTTCCCACTTCTGGTCACAGCCTGTCCCACTTCCGGCAGGATTCTCCGCATGATTCCGGTGTGGCTAGAGTCTCCCCCAGTCCTCCCGGCGGACACCTGGACACCTCCCTCCCTGCCTTTTGCTCCCAACTGTACCACTCCCTAGAATTTTCAGTAAGGACCTCTCTCATGGCTGCTCTCATCCCGCCTCTCCCTCTGCTCTAGGAGTGCTACAAGACCAAGTCCAGAGCCCAGCACAGAGCCAAGGACAGGGACAGGGCACGCCTGAATTCAGACACTGAATACATCCAGAGATTGGCAGCACCAGTCAGGCTGCTAGTGTCCACACCCTGAGGAATCGTACTTATGCGTCATTGGTCTTTTTCTCTGTATGTATCTGTGTATACATACCTCTATCCATTTTCCTCACCAGTTTGAAATCCAAGAAGACAAGTTTACAAACTATATTGGTTCATGGTGTCTTACCACCCAAAATAATTCTTTGGTGATTTAAATATTTTTTATTAATGAATACAATTATGAACCAATGTTTTATAACAAGTAATAAATACAATTATTAATTTTGGCAATTACAACACTATGTGCCTGATTAGTATAAACACCAGGTCCTGTGAAACAATACAGTGAGGATTTTTATGCAAACCAGCAAAGAACAAAAGGAATTTCAATAATAACATATAAAGTAACTGTTGTAACAATCTAAGAAAATTAGAAAGCTAGACACAATGACTTGGCTGCACACAATGACTTTTTTCCCCTCAATGGATTTATGAGAATTTTTCATCCTACAGAAACTAGCTTTTGCCCATTTCTGTATCTGCAAGCCACTGGGAGTGCATACAGTGGTAGAGAGAGGGGAGACTATAAGTGAGACGTCACTATCCCCAGATGAGTAATTTTTCCCTTCTACACATGATGCTTGTTTAAATAAGAAAACTGCTGGAAACATTCCCTAGTATGAATTATACTCACCACTATCGCTGCTTTTTGTCCTTTCAAAATCATCACTTAGAGGTCAAGAGGAATGCCAATGTATGAGCTCATCAAACTCTCTCTTCTTAGAAAGACAGGTGATAGCTGGGTCATCACTGCGGTGGGAGGGAGGGAGTATAATTTAGAAAACACACGTGTAGGTCAGTGTTCAATTAAGACCCCACTTGAGATGCTTGTATCCCATACCCAGGCACCTCGGTTTGTGTCCCAGCTCCCATTCTGATTGCAATTTCCTGCTAACCCACAATGGAAGGCAGCTGATGATGGGTCAAGTATACTTGGATATCTGCAACCATGTGGGAGACCTGGATTGGATTCCAGATGCCTTGCTTCCACCTGGCCAACCACTGGTGTTGCAGGCATTTGGGGGGTGAGTTAGCAGAAGGAAGACCTCTCTCTCTCTCTCTCTCTCTCTCTCTCTCTCTCTCTCTGTGTGTGTGTGTGTGTGTGTGTGTCTCCCTCTCTAACTTTCAAGTAAATAAATAAATCTTTTTTTAAAAAGCAGCTTTTTTATTTGTGTGTATGTATGTGTATTTGTGTAATATTTCAAACATAGAGAAAATATTAGAGAATAAATGATAACCATGAATCTACCATGCATTCATTCATAAGACATCCATTAAGTCCTAATTATATGCCAGAAACTCGTATGGATGCTAAGAACATATCAGCGTACAAAATAGAATAAAAATCTCTTCAATGAGTGTTTATTTATTTGTTTTATTTGAAAGGCAGAGAGACAGACAGTGCACCCACCACTGGTTACTCCCTACTGGCTGGGGCTGGCCTGGGCTAAAGCTGGGAGCCAGGAATTTAATCCAGCCTCCCACATGGGTATCAGGAATTCAACTACCTGAACCATCACTGCTGTCTTTCAGGGTGCACAGAAACATGGCACCAGAATCGGGAACAGAGCCAGGAAGTGAATCTAGGTGCTCCTAGAAGCACAGGAGCATGTTAAACACTAGGCCAGACATGAGCCCTTTACAGAGTTCATATATTCAGAGACTTACAGACAATAAAGAAATGCAAAGGTAAAATACACACTATGGTAGATGGTGCATGATACAGATTAAAAATCACACAGAGAGACAGAGGAGGAGGAGGAGGAGGTGCCACTTTAAGCAGAGTGGTGAAGAATGCCTGGCTGAGAAGCTATGGGAGCAGAGGGTACAAAGTTGTCTGGCTCAGAACATTGCCAACCAACAGAAACACAGGCAGAAAGGCTGTGAGGGGGCCAACGCAGTGGCGCAGTGCCAGCATCCCATATGGGGGCCAGTTCAAGTCCTGGCTGCTCCACTTCCGATCCAGCTCTCTGCTGTGGCCTGGGAGAGCAGTGGAGGATGGCCGGGGTGCTTGGGCCCCCGTGCCTGCGTGGGAGACCCGTGGGAGGCTCCTGGCTCCTGCCTCCACATCAGCTCAGCTCTGGCTGTTGCAGTCATTTGGGAGGTGAACCATCAGATGGAGGGTCTCTCTCTCTCTCTCTCTCTCTCTCTCCCTTTCTCTCTGGCTCTACCTCTCTGTGGCTCTGTCTTTCATATAAATAAAATAAATCTTTAAAAAAAATAGAAAGGCGGCTGGCGCCGCAGCTCACTAGGCTAATCCTCCGCCTAGCGGCGCTGGCACACTGGGTTCTAGTCCCGGTCGGGGCGCCGGATTCTGTCCCGGTTGCCCCTCTTCCAGGCCAGCTCTTTGCTGTGGCCAGGGAGTACAGTGGAGGATGGCCCAAGTGCTTGGGCCCTGCACCCCATGGGAGACCAGGAAAAGCACCTGGCTCCTGGCTCCTGCCATTGGATCAGCGTGGTGTGCCGGCCGCGGCGGCCATTGGAGGGTGAACCAACGGCAAAGGAAGACCTTTCTCTCTGTCTCTCTCTCTCACTGTCCACTCTGCCTGTCAAAAAAAAAAAAAAAAAAAAAAAAAAATAGAAAGGCTGTGAGCTGGGAGAGCAATTGTGTACAAGAAACAGTGGGAGGCCAGCCTGGAGGAGTACTCAGAGGGGGACAGATTAGGCTCAAATGAGGTTAAGGGGGCAGGGAGAGTAAGACAGAGGACAGAGCAGCAGATCCTGGAGTCCTTTCCATCTGAGGGAGTCAGGCTCCTTAGTAGGTTTGAGCAGGGAGAAACAAACTGATCTCTCCCCGCAGCGGATGTTTGGACACCACTGTGAAGGAGATCACTTGGGGTGATGGGGGGCCGATTGCACAGCTACAGGGTGAGCAAGGAAGGCCAGGCTCTGGAAGCATCTTGCAGGAACAGGAACACATTTCGCTGCCAGATTAGACGAGAAACAGAAAGGGAAGTCAAGGACATTGCCAAGGATGATGAGAAAAACATGGAGAGAGAAGAGAGAATGATAGAGACGCACGGAGGGACCTCCAGGTGCCTGTGAGGTCAGTGGGCGCTGGCATTGCACACAGTGAGTTTACAGGGCCCAGGAGACTGCAACTGAGAGCAGATTCAAGATACGAGTCATGGGGTCAGTGCCGTGGGGCAGCGGGTAAAGCCGCCGCCTGCAGGGCCAGCATCCCATAATGGCACCGGTTCGAGACCCAGCTGCTCCACTTCCGACCCAGCTCTCTGCTATGGCCCAGGAAAGCAGTGGAAGATGCCCAAGTGTTTGGGCCCCTGCACCTACATGGGAGACCCGGAAGAAGCTTCTGGCTCCTGGCTTCAGATCAGCCCAGCTCTGGCCATTTGCAGCCATCTGGGGAGTGAACCAGTGGATGGAAGACCTCTCTCTCTCTCTCTCTCTCTCTCTCTCTGCCTCTGCCTCTCTGTAATTCTGCCATTCAAATAAATAAATAAATCTTAAAAAAAAGTACATGAGTCACAGAATTTTCAGCCAATTCTTATCTGGTAGCTGGAGTTAAGAATTTGACACTTGCGACAGTTCATCCTCAAGTCATGAGATTGGTTGACCAAGGAGATGGCAACTCATTTTGATAACTGATAATTTTTTCCAGGTTTGTTTCAGATTCCGTTGATTTTTTAAAAAATAAGGGTTGGCGCTGTGGCTCACTTGGTTAATCCTCCGCCTGTTGCACCGGCATCCAATATGGGTGCTGGGTTCTAGTCCCAGTTGCTCCTCTTGCAGTCCACCTCTCTGCTGTGGCTCAGGAAGGCAGTGGAGGATGGCCCAAGTCTTTAGGCCCCTGCACCTGCGTGGGAGACCAGGAGGAAGCACCTGGCTCCTGGCTTCGGATCGGGCACAGCTCTGGCCATAGCGGCCATTTGGGGAGAAAACCAACGGAAGGAAGACCTTTCTCTCTTTCTCTCTCTCTCATTGTCTAACTCTGTCAAATAAATAAAGAAAAAATAAACCACTGTAGATATATTTGAAGCCCCCTATATATTTCTCAGAAATTCCATTCTTCTCTTTTTTTTTTATGTTTATGTCTTTTTTTTTTTTTGCCTTGAAAGACAGAATCAGAGAGCGAGAGACAGAGACAAGAGACAGAGATAGAGAACAATCTTCTATCCACTGGTTTGCTCCTCAAATGCCCACACATCCAGGGCTGGGCCAGGCCAAAGCAAGGAGCCAGAACTCCATCCAGGTCTCCCAAGTGGGTGGCAGGGACTCATGGACCTTAACCATCATCTGCAGTCTCCCAGGATGCACAGTAGCAGGAAGCAGGATTGGAAGTGGAGTGGCTGACCCTTGAACCAGGCACTCTGATTGCAGGCATCCCAAGTGGTGAGTTAAGCTGCTGCATCAAAGACTACCCCTCATTCTCTCTTCTAAGCAGCAGCTTCTTCCTTATGTGTATATCATGCCCATGCACGATATAAATGTGCATACACCATTACAAGTAGCTGCCCATAAATGATATGAGAGTCACAACATTCTCTAACTTACTTAGCTGCATAAGCAGTGTGGTTTGGAAATTCACCCATATGGACGTGTGCATGGCTGTGTGTATATGTATGTGTATGCAGTTATTTATTTTTACTGTGGAGTACTGCATTGTGAGAATATCCCACTACTGGGGCAGGCATTTAGCCCAGCGGTTAAAACGCCCACATTGGAAATCCCTGGATTCGATTCCTGGCTCCAGCTCCTGACTCTGGCTTCCTGTAAATGCAGACACTGGATGGGCAGCAGCTCCAGTCCAAACCCAGTTATTGCAGGCATCTGGGGAGTGACTCAATAGAGGAGAGCTGTGTGTGTGTGTGTGTGTGTGTGTGTCAGAGAGAGTCTCTCTCTGTTTCTTTCTCTGTATGTCTGTGTCCGCCTCTCAACAAATTTTTTTTCCACAATATTCTTTTCCTTGTCCTACAGATGGCTTGCATCTATATAAACAATCCTGCAGTGACACTGATGCAAACTCACCTCACTCAGAGAATCAGAGTTTCTCCAGGGAAGCTGCAGGTTGCGGACACAGCACATCTTGAACCTGTGTAGCTTTTACTGGTTCTGTTTCTGCCACCAGCATGCCCACTGCCTCACACCTTTGGCCTTACTTAGTCATAAATTTTATCAAAAGGAAGAGTGTTGAATAGGGCCTCGCTGTAGCTTTAATTTTCATTTCTTAGATGCACAAGGACCTTTAGATATCTTTTTACAGTTTTACAGGCCATTCCCCGCTGGCTTCTCTATTAATGACCTATTTCTCCCTATTCCTCTTTCTCTACTGTCTCATTCCTGTCTTTCTCGTGAGTTCTAGGACATCTTTATCCTAAATCTTTTATGCTAACCCTGTGATGCTTATATACCTTCTAAATGACTTCCAAAATCTGTTTTGTTATTATTGATTTTTATAATGTCAAATGTATCATTGTTTTCCTAATGACTTGGAGTTTTATACTGTCTTTGAAGGCCATGACATCTCTACTATGGCACCATAAAGATATTTCCCAGTATTGTCTTCTGAAAATGTGACTGTTGTCTTTCACATTTAGCTTTCTGACCACCAAGATTTGACTTATGGCGTGGTGTTATGTACAGACTTTGATTTTTTTATAAATATAGATATTTTAAAACATACCATTTGCAAAGTAATTTGCTACTTTCACAAGGATTTGCTTTATCCTGTCTGACATATATACATTTACATTTGGAATTTTTTCTGCTTCCTTTGTTATCTCTTCAGTTTGGCTAATTTTTCAACCAATTATCTTCTTACTATCAGGCCTTTAATACACTTAACTGCTGTCTCAAGAACACCGTCCCCACTTCTACAACATGGAAACCTATGCCTCCAATGTGACACTGACAATTCTAGCAAATAAAGGTGTGGAGCACAGATAAGCAACCTTACTTTAGTGTTAACTCCAATAATCCTGGCCAGCGCTGTGGCATAGCAGGTAAAGCTGCCATCTGCAGCACCGGCATCCCATAAGGGCGCCGGTTCCATTCCCAGCTGCCCCACTTCTGATCCAGCTCTCTGCTGTGGCCTGGGAAAGCAGTGGAAGATGGCCCAAGTGCTTGGGTCCCTGTACCTGCATGGGAGACCTGGAAGAAACTCCTGGCTTCTGGCTTCATATCGGCACAATTCCACCCATTGCAGACATCTGGGGAGGGAACCAGCAGATGGAAGACCTCTCTCTCTCTCTCCCTCCCTCCCTCCCTCCCTCCCTCTGCCTTTCAAATAAATAAATTAATTTAAAAAAACTCCAACAACCTTCTCTGCTGAATCACCTTGTCACAGGCAAAGAGGGAACCAAGCACCACCAGCCCCTCCCCCAGGACCTCACCTACTCCCCAAATCCCTCCCCTTTTGTGCTGCAGCTAACGTAACCAAAATCACAATCACCACAGAACTGCTCGGAACCTATGACTGCTGACCATACCCACAACCAGTTACAATGACATCACTGCTGACACTTCACTCCCTCCATGTGCTTGACACCAGACTCTTCCAAGACTTCCTAAAAAGACAAGTAAATGGGAGGTGCCCAAATATCGACTCTCCCCCTACCCCTGGAAAACCCTGCCCCACATAACACCTCCTATGAATATTCTATCCTTCCCATCTCTCAAGTTCATCTAAAAGAGGTAACTCAAACCTGGCTGGGTGCAGCTCACTCTCAGGTACACCTGCGCTTCCTGTTGAGTGTGTACTTTCACTTTATGGATAATCAATCTTATTCCTCTGCCAACCTTTACTCACATCTAAAGATCAAATTCTTTCTTGCATTACAGACAAGAACCTGAACCCAGCCACCCAACAATTCTCTTTGTCACCTCCTTGTTCTCACTGAAGACAAATTTACCATCTTCCTCCTTACCACTGATTTTTGCTGACTTTAAGATCCACATAGAGGATGTATCCCACATCAGGCCTTGAATTTTTATGGTCTTGCTACAGCCACACCTCAACAACCCACTGCTTTCATTATACTATGAATTATGCTGACATTATTATGGAGAAAAAGGTAAAGATATGTAAGCGGTGTAGAGTCATTTAAAGCAAACACATAAATGTTTTTAAAATCATACCAATCAATCAAGTTGAAAAAAAGTATCTCTCAATGTGAATTTTCACCACATATCTATAATAGATACAATAGATGCAGTCCACCATACTCAAAGATATTTGGTTACAGCCACAGAGCTATTACAAGCAAGATAAATACCTGCTTACAAAAGGTAGTTCGGACCAAATATCTCCAGTGTAATCTTCTATAACCTCGGATTTCAGAGGAATTAGTCCAAGCTTGGGAATTTCTTGATTTGATCCTGGCAATATTCAGAAATACAATTGATATTTGAACACTAAACTCTAATTAAAATTCACCATTCTGATGCAGGCATTTCTGCAATAGCGAAACTAAGCCTAAGTAATCTAAGTAATCTCTCATTACCAAATAAATAGAAACTGAATAGAATTTCTACAATGTAGACGTTCAAATCACATTTCTGCTCCACATATTAAGTCACAAATGTAAATACTCATAGGTGTAGATTTTAAAATCTTGCAAAATGTAAGTTTGTTTTAAAATTCCATTTTCCATGAACTAAAGTGTGAGGATACTAAAAGATAGGTTCATTTTGATGCAAAGTTGTTTGAAATCCCACATATTTTTTTCCATAATACTCATTTTCCTTTAATTTTTTGAAAGCTCCTCATATCTGAATGGAGTTAGGTAGAATTTATTTTAAGAATCACTATGTAACCTAGAAAAGACAAATATTTATTCTAGACCACAGAAAGATCTCTGCTTATTTTTCCATAGGTCAAACCAAGGGAAATAAATTTGTTTAATAAAAATGTTTTAAATTTAAACATCGGTACCAAAAAGTGCATTAATTTATTTCCACATCTTGTGCTAGCTAAAATTCAAAAGAACTTTTGTATATTTCATTCAAATCCCAAACCTTTTTCTGCATGAATGGACTCATCTGATGTGTCAATCACAACACCTTAAGACCTATTTAAATTTAAGCTACTTCTTCATAGAGCTTTAGGGAAAAAGTTGCCTTTGGTAAAAAAAAAAAAAAAAAAAAAAAAAAGTAAAGCTATTACAACGTTTTCTGTACCTGACTACGGAGACAGACAGACACGGATTCAAATCCTCTCTCTTCCATGAATTTGCTGTGTGATCTACAACAACCTTCCCAAGATCTTACCTCTAAAATGAGATTGATAATACCACCAGCAAGGTTGATTGGGAAACCAAATAGAAAAATAAATAAAAACAATTGCAAGGCAAAGGAGTTGCTAGAGGAGTAGAAGCTATTCAGTATGACTATCCCAGCCAAAAGGCAAAACTTATAAAGACCAGACCTATTTTCTAAACAAGGATTGTACTGCTAATCTCTTTCCATCTGGAATGAGATCCACTTTTAAAAAACTATTGGGGCTGGCACTGTGGTGCAGCAAGTTAAAGCTGTTTGCAACATCAGCACTCATGAGTGCTGTTCCAGCTGCTCCACTTCTGATCCAGCTCCCTGCTAATGCTCTTGGAAAAGTAACAGAAGATGTCCCAAGTGCTTGGTCCCTGTCACCCCAGTTGGAGACCTGGATGGAGTTTCTGACTCCTTGCTTCAGCCTGAACCAGCCCAGTGGTTGCAGCCATTTGGAACGTGAAAAAGCAGATGGAAGATCTCTCTCCTCTCCCTCTCTCTCTGTGCCATTTTGTCTTTCAAATAACAAGCAAATCTTTTCTAGCAAACTGTCAGCACCTTTAGGCAATGTTTTCTTCTGTGTAAGAAACAGTCTGGAAGTTGTCCTCACAGGCATGGAGTCTCCAAAGTCACCATCCTCTGACAAGGCTAACGTTGTGTTCCACAGCTTGTGATATACGTGCATCAGAGTGTCACCCAATTCCAAGTCGAGTCCTAGGGAGGAGAAGGTAACAGATTCCAATTCATAATCAAAGTCTGAATTTATGTTTTACAGGTGTCTGAGTTATTCAAGTTTATAGGTACTAGCTTCTAATGTTAGACGCTTAATGCAGGACAGGATATGATGTTTTCATTATGTACTCAATATTTGAAGACACCTAAAGCAAAAATAAAATTGATATTGCTATTGTTATATTTTTCTGTCACACAAAAAAGCAGGGAGCAGCATTGTGGTACAGCGGGTTAAGCTGCCACTTGTGATACTGGCATCCCATCCTGGACACCTGTGATACTGGCATCCCATATTGGAGCACTAGTAGGAGTTCTGGCTGCTCTGCTTCCCATCCAGCCTCCTGCTAACAATCCTGAGAAAGGAGCAGATGATGGTCCAAGTGCTTGGGCCCCTGCCACCTGCATGGGAGATCCAGGTGGAGCTCCAAGCTCCTGACTTTGGCTGGGCTCAGCCCTAACCATTGTGGCTATTTGGAGAGTGATCCAGCATATGGAAGACATTCTCTCTCTCTCTCTCTCTCTCTCTCTCTCTCTCTGTCACTCTCATTCTTGCTCTCACATGCGCACATGCATTCTGACTTTCAAATAAAATAACACAACCTAAAAACTCAAAAACAAAACCAGCAGGCCAATGAAAAATGAACCAATGGTCCTAATATGGGATCTGAGGTCAAGCTTAAGGAAGCACCAGGTAAGAGCATCCTTCAGAAAATGCTCCAAGCTGGTACGCCACTTCAGTTTCCATGGGAACAACATCTTATCTGAAGCAGCCAGCAGCAAAGCTACATTGTCATTTTCCAACACATACACAAAATCTGGTGTAGGAGGGTTCTTCAAAAACTGCATGGAAAAATGGAATTAAAAGTTGATTCTGGTGCAAAAAAGAATTGAAATCTATGGATAAGGTGTTCTTCATACTCATTTTCCACAAAGTTTTTGGAGATTCCAGAAATTTTTATACCAAAGTCAACTTATTTTATTATACTTTACTTCTTGCATTTTTAATTAACATGCAATACTTGCACACCATTATGGTGCATGGTGCAATATTTCAACAGTGAAAGCTGATCAAATCGGGAAATCAGCATGCCCACCTCCAGCTCCTCTCCACACTGTGCAATGCGTTATTATGGGCTACGGTCTCTCCCTGTGCTGTGCAACACTAGGACCAGTTACTTCTGTCTAGTGGGGTTTTAGACCCTGTATCCAACCTCCCTCTAATTCCCTCCCTCCATCCCTCCAGGCACTACTGGTCACTATTCTAAGTTCAGAGAGCCTCTTACACTTTGAAGCACCTCATATGGAAGACACAGAATAAATTACAACTCCGTAGTTCCTTTCCATTTATCTTCCTTTTTTTCCCCAAGTAACTAATCAATTACCCCATAATTATTCTTGAAAAAAAAAAAAAACTCTTGTAAAGACCCTCAACTGAACCTTGTGAAAATACAGACTTTCCACAGAAAATATCTTCAGGGTGGCTGGCCAGCATCCCATATGGGTGCCAGTTCAAGCCCCAGCTGCTCCACTGCCAATCCAGCTCCCTGATACTGGCCTGGGAGAAGCAACATAAGATGACCCAAGTCCTTGGGCTCCTTCCACCCACATGGGAGACCCAGAAGAAGCTCCTTGCTCCTGGCTTCAGCCTGGCCCAGACCTGGCCATTGCAGGCTTCTGGGGAGGGAGCCAGTGCATAGAAAATTTTCTCTCTCTCTCTCTCTCTCTCTCTCTCTCTCTCTTTCTCTTTCTCTTTCTCTCCCTCTATAACTCTGACTTTCAAATAAATAAATCTTTTTTAAAAAAAAACATATCTTCAGAGAAACTTTTTATGTAATTCAACCTAATTGATGCATGACTAACCCACTGTCATTATTTACTAGATACAATTCTCATTCAGGCATGGACAGTGAATTTAAAAAAACTATTTAATGAACAGCTATTTAAAACATACCTCTGTGATACTCAATTTCATAATAATAAGCAATATTTTTCCATAAAATATTATCAGTTAAGTCAGGGAGGCTGGTGAAATCCACACTCCAATTATTTGTAACTTTTAATTGTTTTAGGATGAGAAATTCACATTGTTTTTGCTGGAAAAAAATACAAAAGGACAAAAGAGAGAGAGGAACAAGTGCTAATGATATAAAATCTTCCAAAAATGTGACTGTGTCAATTAAGTTTCCCTGAGCATGATCTACTCCTTGTACAAAGACAAAGGACATACAGTGAAGATCAAGAGCTTAGAGCCAGTTACCTTCTTCCAGTCCATCCCACTGCAAAATAACAAGGGCAATATCCAAGGGGTCTGCAAAAAGTTTGTGGAAATTCACAATACCTTGTAGTTCCATGAAATTTTTAAAAAATATTTATTTATTGTGCTTGCTTCAGCAGTACATATACTAAAATATTTATTTATTTATTTGAAAGGCAGAGTTACAGAGAGACAGAAGCAGAGAGAGAGAGAGAGAGAGAGAGAGAGAGAGGTCTTCCATCCACTGGGTCACTCCCCAGATGGTCACAATGGCTGGAGCTGCACCAATCCGAAGCCAGGAGCCAGGAGCTTCTTTCAGGTCTCCCATGTGGGTGCAGAGGCCCAAGGACTTGGGTCATCTTCTACTGCTTTCCCAGGCCATAGAAGAGAACTGGATTGGAAGTGGAGCAGCCAGGACTTGAACCGGCATCCATATGGGATGCTGGCACTGCAGGTGGCAGCTTTATCTGCTACACCACAGTGCCAGCCCCTTTCCATGAACTTTTTGAAATAACCATGTATAACCTTTAAGGTATTTTTCAGTGCTAACATTAAATTTTTCTTCTGAACTCATCCCAAACATAATTTCAATAAATACTTCCTCATTGATTCAAACTAATGAATATATAAAAGTAGTGGGCATTTAACTGCTTTACTACAGATTTACAATTAAAAGTTGTTTATGGTATCATTTCAAGAGTTAGGTCTATGGGGCCTGTACTAGGCATCCCATATGGGTGCTGGTCGAAGTCTCAGACACTCTTTTTCCAATCCGGTTCCCTGCTGATGCACCTGGGAAAGCAGTGGAAGATGGCTCAAGGGCCGACACACTGTGGCGCAGTGGGTTAAAGCCCTGGCTTGAAGCACCGGCATCCCATATGGGCACCTGTTCGAGTCCTGGTTGCTGCTCTTCTGATCCAGCTCTTTGTTATGGCCTGGGAAAGCAGTAGAAGATGGCCCAAGTCTTTGGCCCTTGAACCCATGTGGGAGACCCAGAAGAAGCTCCTGGCTTCAGTCTGGGCCAGCCCCCATCATTGTAACCATTTGGGGAGTGAGCCTGTGGAAGAAAGATCTCTGTCTCTCTCTCTCTCTCTCTGCGGCCATTTGGGGAGTGAACCAGTGGATAGAAGACCTCTCTC